GACCTGGTTGCGACGCTGTGTACGGCCATGTCGTACCGGGAAGAGTTCGCAAGGTTTTGTAATGATGCTTATATGGACGAGGTGCTGGAATACCTCCTGAAGTCAAGACATATCCACTTGCCTGCCAATTTGGTAGAAGCTTTTCAGCTAGATGTGGAGACGATTGATGCAGGGGCATGGATGTCAATCACGTAACTTACGTGGAGGGGGGCTGGATACGTATAACCCCATTATAATTGTATCTATACATTGAATATTTAGGGGGATTTGGGGAATTTCTCATTCGGCTATGAGAAGATGTATTATGACTAGAACTAGTTTAATAAATAGGTCAGAAGCCCTCCAAGGATGAGCTATAGAGTTCTGTGGTCCCCTGATGCTACAAGATTCCTATAGCAAATTCGCACTCCTCCCGGCTTTCCAAATGCACTCTACTTGGCCTTTTGGCCCTGGACCTTCGATCTCAGCTAAGGAACCCCCTTACAAACAGCGGAGAGTTATATTGGGTATTGGCGCAGAAGGTGCAGGGTCAAAATCCAGTATTGGGGAATCATTTTAAGTGTTGAAAAATGGGTTCAGATGGGATGCTTTCGGCGAACCTAGTTGCCACAGGCTCATATAGCATTTTTCAAAGTGCCCCTGCTTCTGTTGCTTGTCCAGGGCGGGCTGTCAGTCACTAGGCCCAGGAAGCACTCCCGCGTAATTGTAAATGACCAGGCCCTCGATGCCTGCAACCCCTACCAAGATGCCTCTATAACAAGCTGTATGCCGGAGATTGCAGTTGCCCTGAAGTTTTGAAGCAAACAGTTTGCAGCAAGTGACCCTGCAGCTCGCAATTGAAAAGTTGGCCTATCACTGCGAACACACGCCGAGGCCCTCTGAACCTAATCCAAAAAAGATTCCTATAGCAAACTGCATGGTGGAGATTGCCTCNNATGAGCCCTATAAGGTTTAAACCCTGAGCTGAAAAGTGCGCCTTGCCACGCTTCATGATTTGGTGGCCCTTCCAGGCCTCATGCAAGTGTCAACAGGCCCCAAACACATTGTAAAACCTAGACCCGAAACCCTAAACCCTCAACTCGACACCGTGGGGCTGGAGAGAAGGGTGGGGGTTCTGGGGAATGGCTTTTATTGGGATTGTCATCTCTTCGGGCTTCTGGACTGTACAAGGTTTACGAGGCCTGGGAAGCTTCTATGACGTATAGCTCAACTCCTAATGCCCCCCTTTCATAACACCTATAATGGTACCCTATATAACCCCTTTTAAAGATAAAGAGTTTATAGAGTACAACCACATATTTAGGGGTTATTGCAATGTTGTGTCTACACATGTTGGGCTGTAGCTTGCGGTAAGAGGTCTGGAGTTGCGGGATGTTTCAGACTTTTGGTTGCTTTCTTCAGAACCCTTTTAAATACTCTTTTGCGTCATCGGAATCTTTTTTTGCATAGTGGGTTATCTTGGGTTTCTGGACCAGTCTTGAGTAGCGGTGGAGGTCTCTGGTGTCAGCTTGTGTCAGCCACTTGAAACATGGATTCTACATATGGGCCCTTGCTACAAAGGCATCCTCAGGAGCCCTTGAACCTTCTAGAGTTTTCAACTTTTCAGAGCCCTACTCCACCCTGCCAACCCAACAGCACGGAAACCTAATTGGACCATACAGCTGCAAAGTGCCGATTATACCCGAGTACTTGCACCAAGCCTCATCCCAACCCTGACACAGCCCTGCTCCCTGGTAGTTCTAGGAAGCCTTGTCCCCATATCTTCAATATTTCAAAGGAATGCCTGAACCTCAAATACCCTATGCTTTCTGTGCCCTTATACAATCTGTTGACTTCAAAGGGCTGATACAAGCCATTTTGTTAAGAACATTTTACCACAAGGCCGGAACCTCATAAAATGTTAACCTTCCCAGACAAACCGAACTGAAAAACCAATTTTTTGATCTTATGCCAGCGACCGAACCAAAAAAACAAAAAATCATAGCTCTATGGAAAAAACCGGGTAAACGGAAAAGCACGGAAACACTGGTTTTTTAAACGGAAAACCAAAAAAATTGCACGGATTTGCACGGAAAAGCACGGAATTTTTGCCACCTCTGAAATTACATAACGGACCGAAAAACCAATTTTTTGATCCTAATCCCCAACAGAAGCGAAAAACCAATTTTTGAGGTCTGTCAAAAATTGGTTTTTCGCCTACTTCTAATCCTAAACCTACTTTAACCTGAATCTGCGAGGACAAGCTGCGAGCTCATCCGCTTCATCGAAAGGTGATTCCTCCTCGCCAGTGTTTCGTTTGTGGCTTTAAAGCTTATCTAGATCCCTACATCTATCAGAATCTATCACATCTCTCACAACATGCCATACTCTTACATCTAGCGGGGTTGTCTTCCAGGTTTGTTTCGTCCCAACTCATGCAAGATTAACGGGCCTTGGGTGTAGCATTAGCTAGCTCGACCCCATTTGCTCTTAGATGGAATGAGAGCCCTCCTGAATGCTCGAGGTAGAGGTATGTATAGCATCGTATCCACAAAGTGATTTAAAGTCGACAACGAGACTAATAGCAGAATCGTGGACGGGTTCCAAATGGCTGCCCCGATCCTTGATGTCATAGATCGCGGATGATGCAATTGTGTCCTGCGGGGTCTTGGAAATGAGTGGCCATTGAGGTTTAGAAGGGCTTATGGGGCTCATATGGGTGTAGGGCTTACAAGGTTTCAGGCTTAGGGTTCTAGGGGTTGTAGTATATATATAAGCTCGAGGGTGTATATATATATATAGGATCTAGGGTTAGCATAGGGTTGGAGGTTCAAGGTTCTAGGGTTTTTCGGAAGGTTTAGGGTCTATATGGTGCCACAGAACTAACATGAGGCTCAGTGAGGGAAGCTTGCAACACCCCATAATTATAGTTATGCCCTATATATACATATTTGGGACCCTTATACTGCTGGATTTCCTCGCTTGGCCACATGTTCACATAAGCTTACTAAGAGCCTCCCACGTTGTCAGGCTGGAATCGAATGGTCCTAAAACGCTTTATGGCTTCCAAGGGGGCTTCAAGTTTTCGGGCTAGAGGACTTTTAAGCGTTAAGGTCTGCAGGGTGCCACACAGCTCTCAGTTACAAGCAACTAGCCTGGAGAATCGGTGACTTATGGGTATGTGGGCAAAAAAAAGTTGTAATGGGCTGCAGATAGTGTTGATAACGAATTTTAGAGAAATAACAGGGCTGCTTGCAGGTCCAGGGTTATAAGAGGCTGTGGGTCTGTTGCTGATGAGGTTTATATAGGGTCTGTAGGGTGCCATGCAGCTCTCCATTAAGAAACAACTATCTTGGAGGTTCCGTGACTTCTGGGTATGTGGGGCGGAAAATAAGAAATAGAATCGTCCTGGACTGCAGATGCGATTTTTTAACAAATCATAGAGACATAGCAGGGCTGCCCGGCCAAGGACACAAGGGATTGCTTCATCCGGGGTTCACATAGATATATATATATATACCTATATCTTTACAGGGTTATGCGAGGTTCAGGAATTTCTACAAGGGCATTGGTTTGGAACGTCGGGCGTCCTCATGAATCCGTACGAATGAAGACTGTTAGTTATGACGGGCTTATCGAATCTCCAATGCGGTACTTGTGTAGGGATCCTACTAAGACTCCTAAGCAAAGGCCCATACCAAACCCAAAGTGCCACATTGGAGGGTCCATGGAATTCGAGGCATACCTGAACTCAAGGCATGAAGGATGTGGATGGGTGCAGTTCTGCGTGAAGTATAGGGCCTCCATTTTGAGAACAGCGATGTGGCTTTCAGAGGGCTGCTAGCATAAAGGGAGGGGGTGTGAGCGGTTGCGATGCGATTGGGTAGTTGTCTCAACCGTGGTGGGAGAATGTGTTTGTGTCCCAACACCACTGCCAGATCATTCGGTGGGCACAGATGCGCCATCCCGTGAATGAGGTCTTGAGAGAGCGAAGACGCCATTGTCTTGTAGCTTCCTCCGAGGGACAGTAGGGATCGAGGCTCCTGGCCACTGCCCTCCACATAAGTCACTCCCGTGCTGGGCACGTGCACCTCAAAGGACCCCGGGCGTCTTTCCGTTGAGGGTCTGATGCTCATGATGCCGAAGATGTCGATTGCGAACATGTTCAGTTTCAAAAGGTTCTGGATTATAAATTCCCCCCTTATGTGAATCTCATCTTGTCTAGTCTTATCTAGTCGGCCAGCTTCCCTACAAACCTCTTTCAATCCAGAAATTCTAAACCTAAATGTGTCAACTCCTGGACAGACAAAGTACTTTGGGCCAATTTTTGGCAATACCCAGATAAACTCCCCAAAGCCTTGCACTGCCCTCTAATCCACCGTGCTAGTGCACTCGATATCACATCCCCGTAGTTGCAGACGTATGTTCCGCAAAGCTGGCGATTGCAAGACTATGGATCCCCAAAGCTGGCCTTTGCAAGACTACAGTTCCCCACAGCTCTTCTGACGGTGCTGTTTCCCACGTTCCCTTAAGTATAGAAGCCCCCTATAACTTATTAGACCCTCCAACGCACTACTTCCTTGGGGGATCCTGGTAAGAACCCTAGAAGCAAGAAAGCCTCAAGTACAAACCCGACATGAAAAGCCCCGCAAGAACTTCATTGGAGGGTCTGGGACAGTATTCACGACCTGTAGCGCAAACATCACCTGGCTGTCCTCTTGCCGCCATTGCTCACAGGATGACCTGCAGGTTTTGGTTTGGGGTCCGCAGTTCTGTATATAGGGGCTTATATAGGGTTTTAGGGATGGACCACAGTGCTTCGTGCGCCAGCCTCTATGCTGGCATGAAGGGGCTAGAGCAGCAGGACCAGCCCCAACTGTCGCCCAAGCGCGCGAAGGCCATTGAGCCCACACATGCTTGCCACCCCATCCCTGTTTGGCATTTCTCCCCCTGGCCAGGTGGAGGATCGACAGTTGGAGCATCCTGGCCTTTCGCCGGAGACGGCGGAGTTGTTCCGTAGTATGGGCAACAGCCCGGAAAGCGTTGCCATCAAGGCGGAGTTCCTTCGAGCGCGCAATGAGTTGCAGCGAGGCCATGGGTTTTGTGCATTTATTTTTCGTTTCGGGTGTGCATGCCTTCAGGCTACTCCAGTGGGAGCGCAGGAGGCACGGTCTTCCCAGCGCCTCCGACCTCCCTGATTGTTGCGCAGCCTCCAGTGAAGGAAGCCCCCCCACCGCCGCCCTCCCTGACTGTCGCACAGTCTGCCGTGAAGGAAGCCCCCCCACCGAGCCCACCTGTGGATGCAAGGCTTACCTTCCAGTCCCCTCTTGCCAGCACCGACTTCCAGCAGGCCTCCCAGGCAGCCATGTTTGAGTTTGAGCGAAGCATCCAGGCTCTGCGTCAAAAACGCAAGGCTGAATTTGATGAGGAAGAGCAGGCTTGGTTCCAGAAGCGCCAGGCTGCGCGGCTCGCGTGGGAGAAGCAGTGCAAAGATGAAATCGATGAGCGCCTTGCCCGTTGGAGGCGTGAGGATCAAGAGCGCGCATACGCAGAGGAAGCGCAAAGGCAAAAAATGGCAGAGGCCGAGCGGAGGCATCAAGCTTCGCTGCAAGAGATGGTGGAGAAGCAAAGGCGCACTTTGCAACAAGAGCGCGATGACCACGAGGCCAGGCTTGCTGAGCTGATTGAGCAAGCAAGTGCTGCTCAAGCGCAGCTGGATGCACGGGCAGTTGCCCCTCCTCTGACTGCATGCACTGCACTCGCCCTGCCAACCTCTGCTTGCGACAAGGATGACCTCAAGGCCAAGCTCAAGGAAAAGACCTCCTTGTGCCGCCAGCTTTCCACCCACAGCCTTGAGACGCCGCCAGCTAGTGCCAAAGCCCCAAGCCCCGCTTCCAGCACGAGGCCATCTCCTTCCGTGACCCCTCCCCCTCAGCTGCCCAATCCTGATGCCGCAGCCATGCTGCCTGCGGATGCGCCTGTGGGTATCAACATGGCCTTTAACTCCTCCACCCACCCGGCCGCCTGGGGCGCTATTTACCGCATGACGAGGCAGAAGGATTGTGCAGAGGATATCAAGAAAGCTTGGGA